AGGAAAGACCCAGGCAAAGGATGCCGAGGCTGCGGTGCGCGGGCATGGCTGCGAGGGCAGGGGGCAGTGGCTCCGTAGGATGGTTCTGCGATGTTCTGTGCTTGCTTTGCTCCTGCGGCTGCGGCTAAGAGGTCTTGCAAGCTCTGCTGGTTCGACACTTCAGGAGTTGGGGCCGGAAACAGCCAGGCAACCTTCTCGATCTCTTCCGGAGCGACATACATGCTTGCACGTTGGGCATAGCAGCATGTCCCGTCCTGAGCACGAACTCATGAACCAAATATGTACCCCCCAGGAGATCCCAAGAAGCATCGCCACCTCTTCTGAGCAGATGTCGGCGAGGCTATGGCAGAAGGTCTGGCCTGAGCGCGCAGGCCCCACCAGGCTCCATAAGGCGGTGCAGCAGTGTGGGCTGCACGCTCTCTCACGACCTCCGCATTCTACTTCCATCCATACCACTGACCATACAATTATGATTGGTACCAAAGCCGATCAGCCATAGCACTGCCCTGCACAGCCGACTTAGCATCAGCTGTACGAACTGCGAATTAGATCCGGGATGCACAGCTGACCCCTGAAGAATAGGTTTTTTCTGCAGGGTTCAGAGTCCAGGGTGGAGTAGTTCAGGATTGCGGGCGCTCAGGGGTATATGGCTCTGCGGAAGCTCGAAGCACTCCTTTGGGTCACCAGCACTCGGCGGCCGCCGCGGCGACCAGAGGCACCTTGCCAGCTGGTTCCTGACCGAGCAATGGGGGACAAGAGAATGCAGGGCCTACTCTTCACATTGCTTATCGCAACTCTTGAAAAACGCAACGGTTTTGTAGAAACAACGCGGTGTTGCCAGAATGTTGTTTCGCATTCCGACATCTCCCTGAGCTCGTTCCATGGGATTCCACTCCGTCCCTCGTCTCTTGCTCGTGAGCAAGAACGGTGGAGTGCCCTGAGTCCGCGTTCGGTGTGCGAAGGTTCGAGCCCCCCCATCGCATGGGGATCAACCAGATCGACCCACGCAGTTCTCCGGAATAAGAAAGGCTTCCCTGGACAGTATGGCTTCTAGCAGCTCTATTCCCAGTAGCGCCGTTCTTGTCTTTGCTACGAAGAACTGAGGGAAGAAAGCCCTGTTATCTCGAGTTTCTTCTCTGCTCGGTCCCTCTGCTACAGCCGCTGCGCAAAAATCTGACGCTGCTTCTCGTTCCTGCACAGGCTGCACTTCCTGCTCATCGTCCTTTGGTGCTCCTGCTTCAGCTTACCTTCCTCCAAATCCACAGGGGAGAGGAGGGTGCTGGTTGGCCTGTCCTGCATTCTCCTTACTGTTCAGTGGGCCAGGACAACATGCATTCATTCCGGCGCGGGTCGCCGCCTCTCCGTTGGCTGTAGATTCGTCCGATGGCAGTCCAACCAATAGAAGACGTCCGGCGGCGCAGCATCAGTTTGGGGACTGCATGGCAGGGTCAGACACCGCTTCGTTCATTCAGGCGTGACATAAACGACTCATACTTGTAACGCAGCGATATGCAGAGTCAGCCTCCACCAATTGGCACATGAATGGCAAGCCAAGAAAGCTTAACAACCTGCCTCTGTGGCCCACCGAGAAAGAAGCGCGGACACCACGGCAAGTGCCTCCTGGAAATGGTGGGCAGTGAACAAAAACTGTATCTATCATCTGTCTACATATCTGGGCGTTACTCCGTGCTATCTCGGCGATCCTGATCCGATCTACTTTGCTTGCCTGTGTACATGACATTGTGCATGGTCGGTGACTTGGAAACAGCATCGGATCAGCACTCTCTCGTTTCTTCCGTCAGCCTCCTTGAACCTCTCTGCACCCCCTCCAGGCTGCGGCGGCGCATAATAATGCGCAGCGTTAAACAAAGCTATACGTAATGTTCTCCGTGGTCGTTGCCATCTGTCGCGCGCTGTGCCATCACCAAAGTACGCAACTGGCAGAACATGGCAGAACTCACCACGTGACGAGCCTAATGTTCACTGCTATTCTCAGGTCTGAAACTGCCAACATCCATCAACCCTGATGGCAAACAGAACTCCTCGAGCATTGCCAGTGTTGGGCATCCTGCGCCGATCACGCGTGGCCAACATGCGACACATGCAGCTGGAGTGTGCGCACATGCGCACGAATTTGGAGAGCACCCTCGCTTGCTAAGACTTGGGCTGACGTGAACATGCCACTTCAGCAGGGAAAGCATGATTCAAACCGAGATGCAGATTCTAGCATATGTTTATCTGGGCCGCGCGTGACTATGTATTGATCATGGACGCCTGAGAATCGAATGGTCAGCTGCATGGCTTGGGCAGCCGAACACTCGAAATCCCCCAAGTTTCCCAGAGCCTGAATAACAGCTGGGCCCACCCCAACGCCCGAAGGTTGCATCCCGGCTGGGGCACGTGCTGTCAGAGGAAGCTGTCCCAATGGCACCTCTTGGAGGGTTTAAGTGAAGGCGAGCGGCTAGCTTACTCAGTCATCACAACTCGGTAAGGCAGGCAAGGATTCGGACATGTCTTGGCGCTGGTTTGCCTTCCCCCCAAAGAACGCAGTCCACCCACGACCCCAAGAAGTCCAACCCAAGCAAACGCAACGCGAAGCAGCACATGCGATGTCCACCATGAACTAGTCTTAGTAGAAGCCCTTCCCACAAGGAACGACAAGTTTCATGTGGATGTTTGGAACTTCCACATGCTCCAAGAACATGTGAAGGCTTCATCTGTGACATCTTGATCTTGAAGGCCTCCACACCCGAGTTTCACGCACCGAGGGCTGATCTTCAAGCTTCCCACACCCGAGATTCACTCAACAAGCGTTCCTCTCCGAGCCTCCCACTCCCGAAAATGTGGTTCACGCAAGCAGTGTGCTGGCAGTGTGCCAGCAGCGGTCGCCGTAAGCACAGGCACCGTCGCACCCTGGATTTGCCAAGTGCAGCAATTAGGCCAGCACGCCCCGAGAACACTCGAAGACCAAGCGAACTCCAGCAGCATGTTCCCGAATTGCTTCCCTGCAATGTTTGGCCATCACACGAACGAACGAAAACACCAAGACAAATCATGGATGAGGAAAGTCGGTGACAATTTTCGGGCAAGAAACACCATGTAACGCAAGGCAAACATCGACGCATCTAGCCCTAGCAGTCTTGACAGCTTCTTTGGTCAGTGATGGCCAGTGCATTCACCCGCGATTGTTTTTACAATGTGACTGTTTCTGCTGTAACTTGTTTGACCGCGCTTTCTCCCGAGCCTCCTGCGAGACTCTAGACTCGAAAAGGGCTACGTGATCTCCAACATCATGTCCCCGAACTGCTTTCCCGCAATGTGTGGCAGCCAAACAAACGAATGAAAATGCCAAAGCGAAATCATGAATGAGGGGAACCAGTGCCAGCATGCGAACGCAAGGAAACATCAACGATCTAGCATGACTGGTATCTGTCAGTATCTGCGACTTCTTTGCATTTATCCATCCTTGCTATGGAATGTAATCATCCACCCCTCTACGCATGATGAGGATTACATCCACGGTGGTCTCCCCGAAGCAAACGCAAGCCGGAGCGTTTACTTCATCTTCCCCCCAGCGATTTCAAACATCCAAACAGACTGGGAGCGACCAGGGCCGTTCGGAGAAGCTAATGACTCGCCGGGGCCCTGAGAACATCAAGAATTTGCAATCGCTTTCATGCTTGCGAGAGGATGAGAAGGTGGCAGACCTGATTTTCTCGCCCGGTGTGGATGAGATAATATGGCTTCGTCCGCCGCGAATTGATATGTTTACCTGGGACCCTGACTGCTGGAAAACCGATGCCTTTAGCAAAACGTGCATCGGCAGTCCCGTCGGGTTGCTTTGAGTGGCGTCTCTAGCGATTTGTTGAGTTCCTGAACACCAAAGGCATGCTAGCGTAAGAACTTCTATTCACACACGAAGCAACATATCTATTGGAATCTAGTCATCAACAGTGCTTGGAATCATGGCGGTTGCCAGAGGCTTGCTTCCAGGTTGAGGCAGACTGCGGGGGACAAAGGAGGATCTTCGCAACACGTGTTCGACACCGTTGCATTAGCGGGGCCTTCAGCCAGCGGAGGCACCTGCACACGGCTGATGTGTAGTTGTCTGGGATGCTAAGACAAACGGTCGCCAGATTCGGAAGCAAGTCTCGCGTTCAGACGCCAAAATATTCGTGGACCAAGGAAATTCAGGAACCAAGTTCGCGACTTTCAGGAACCGTGAACGGACATTCGGGAATTGAAACGCGACAATTCGCGCGCACTCTCTCTCTCTCTCTCAGAACAACCTACTTAGAACGAAAGGAAGCACCTGAAAAAACCCTCATCTGAAACCCTGACGCCTAAACAAAACCCTTTTTTGAGGAGGAACTGCAGTGCGATTTACCCTGACCCAGCACAGTTACTTGCTGAGACATCGGATCTGGCGGCCGGGCGGAGTGCGGGAGGGGGGCTGGGCAATGTCAAACAACTGTAAAGAAGGCTGCTACAGCCTACCGAGTAATTCAGTGAAAGCTTGCGGCACAGCCGGACCCAAACAAGTACAGCCGCAACCACGTATGCATCCTGGAAGAAGGTGCTGGCCTGTCTTTCGTCCTTCTCGCCCAGCAGATCCAGTGCCGCCTGCAGCGCCTTCATGCCGGGCAACTGCGAGGTGAGACTCTCACAAGACGACGGCCATCGATGAGCGCGGCCTTCGTCGGCAAACGAGAGGCACGGCCCCCGAAACGTCCCTGCCTCGGATGTGTAAGCCGACTCATGGTCCAACCCGGACAGCTGCTGAGGGCATGAAACCACGCTGTTGAGTGAAGCTCAGATGCGATGCGTATGGGAAGCAATGTGTCAATGAACCGTGTTCGGAAGCTTGACCCGCTTTTTCTTGTGCCTTCTTTGGGCACTGGTTCACCAGTTCACCCCTTCACTCGGTCTACAGGAAGGCCGACCTGGTTCTACTTTCGCTTCGGAAACAACGCGTGACTCCTGCGAATCTCCCCATGTTCTCAGTAGTCGCTCCAGGACCTCAGGTCGAACTGGTCGCCAGAAATCCACTTCGACAGCCTTGGCTGTGCAGCTCAGTAGTAGCTTGCGGTTCTGCATCTTTAGTTTGCTCTGCGAATGCTCAAGCAAGAAGTCAGAGCGAACACTTAGCTCACACCTTTTGTCCAGTTCTGCTTGCGCAGCTTCAAAAGTGATCTTGGCCATGGCCGAGTCACATCCGCGCTCTGGCGGCCCGCTTCCGCTTACACATGCGTAGCCTCCATATACGAACTACACTCTCGATGCACGTACTGCACGGGAATAATTGTGTGTATGTCTTTATGTTCAAGGCTGATACACAGAGACGGCGCCACAGGGGTGGTCGTCGAGTTAGCCGGCTCCGGTCTTCCTCGACCAAAGGCACGGCATGCTTCGACTTCTCTTCTTCTTCTCCTCCTCGTCTACGGACATGAAGTAGCAGGCGCCGTCGGCAGGAGGCACCCCGCAATGCCACCACGACACAGCACCTGGCGTCAGCTGCGTAGTTGGTCTGCGATCCCAGAGCTTGGTTGGCCGATGTTTACGTCTTCTTGGCCGCAGTTGGTTCCTCTGTGTGTTTATCGGGTCTGCTGCCTTTCCTAGGACCTCGTTTGCCGACTTTGTTGTGCATCGGGAAAGTGTCGCGCCTGGTGTCAATGTCCGAAGCACGAAGACCTTCTTGGCCAGCTTCTTGATCTCGGCTGCCGATCCCAGGAGGCCGTCGGCGCGACGCTGCCGCCGTCTTGATGCCGCATTGGCCGCAATAGCTTCATCACCCGCCAAAACTCCAGACCACGGCCAACTTGCTGACTTGCCGCCGTTTTTCCGATCTTGGGGTAGAGTCGGCCAGAGGAAATAAGCACCGGCCGGGTCCGAATAGGCCACGCTCTTCACTGCGCCAGGCCGCACTTTGCTTTGCATCGGCTGTGACAGCGTGGAAGGCACGGGGGATGCAAGCGACACGAATCATTCCTTACCTGGAGGGCAGGAAAACGAGGCGTGCAAATGAAAGCCGTGATTGCTTGAGCCGCAGCATGCCGCCTTCTCTAAGCTGGCAAGGGCTTTGGGAAGCAGAGTCTTTGCTGGAGCTTTGCTGCAATTGTTCTGGGAATCCTCAACAATCTTGTTCGTACGTAACAAGAATTAGAAGCATCAGCCGCAACTCCTTCTACCGCAGACCCCGTAAGTGGCCCGTAAGCTAGCACCACCGTCGGACAAGTCACCGAGCCTTTGCCTCTCTTAACCGTCACCCATGATCACTAAACCTCCAAGACGCTAAGCTGCGACACCTGCATCCGAAAAGGTGCAGCCTGGCATTAGAGCAGCACATCGTTATAGCTGGCCCTGGCTTTTCGTTTGAAACCAATGCCAGGCAACTCGCGAGAGGAGCTCTGACTCAAAGGCGAAAGTAGCCTCATTGAATTGCACAGGTCAGCAGGTTTACTCGTGCCGGAACAGATGACTATTGTGGAGCATGCCGAAATAGATACTATGGCATACGGGCATTTACCTCCTTTCATGATTTTAACCTTAACCTTTGTTTCCTAAACCCACAAGTGCTCAACCCTCTAAGCCCTCAGACAAGCCCTGAAGGTGTATCCTGAACTGGGGACCCTTTGCAGGGCTTGCCTCAACGATTCCCTCATGGGCGGTGGGAGCGGCAAGCGGCACTGATGAGCCTCCCAGACTCTCACAATATGACCCCATCTTGAGCGCAAGGCTTGGGAGTGGCAAATACTTGTACAAGGGGCGAAGCAGCTTTTGACATGATTGAATTGAGAGTATACAGCTGGAATGAAAACCCATACCACACAACACGCGTAGGCCCGTCGTAGGCTATGCCTGCATCATGACTATGGATGCAAGGATATCTACAAGCTGCTAAGCTGCCACACCCGGTCCCCGAACCTCCGATTCGTCATGCAGCTGCTGTGAAGGTGCCCAGAAGGTCAGGCGATAGCGGTGAAGGAAGGTGCCTCCGCAGGACTTCGTTGCGAGGTTTGGAAATTTCTTCGCACAGCAACTCGTCGGAAGACGTTCAGAGTTTTTTCGCGACGTATCGGCTACTTCTCACGATTCTGTTTCTGTGTGCATCGGATTTTCTTTCATTGTCCGGCATTTCCCACATGAGTGATAGTCTTCGAGGTCCCTACGAGCTGAATCACGCGGAAAGCAGAACCAACCGCTTCAAACTAGTATCTCGGTTCTTGGCATCGGTGAATCGGAGAACTACGCCCAAAACACCCACTCCGTGTGTATGTGTGTGAGCATGCCAGGCGATGCACTTTTGGTATATTCCTGAGCAGCTGCGTCGGGATGGTTCTGAGCTCCATCGCTTGGATGAGTAGCGGGGCTGCTTTAAGGAACTTGATCGCGACTTTTGTTTTGCGAGTCTTTGCCTTGTCGCCTGGGACTCTAAGTAGGTTCATCAGTTCAGCCTGTGGGATACATGAAGGGCTTAGGATGTTGGGTGGGGAGCCCCTTATGAATCCAAGCTGCTGCGACACCAGCTTTGATCCTCGGAGAATGTAGCCAGACCTGAGCAGCTGTGTCATATGAGCGGAATGTGCACAGTCATTCACTTCACGCGTCTTCGTGCGCTGCAGGGGCCCACGTGTTCGGGCGAAGCTATGTACACAATGTGCACAATGATTCGTCGATTCTTCAGGCTTGCGGTTCAAGCATGCGTGCGGCTTGTCCTGAGCAAGCCTGAGGCCAATCTACACCCAACACTTTTGCAGAGGTTGACGTGCGTGTATGTATGCGCATACCTACATACACGCATCGATACATCCTACAATGTTGGCCAAAAGCTTGAACTTCGATGTGCGGCTGTTTAAAGGTCCAGATCAAACCAAAAGGGCGCTTCACTTCCGGGGCTTGCATGCTGTCCTGCTGCAACCAGGACGCTATTTCTGATTTCTAAACAGTGCCACAGAATCGGGACAGAGACACTATGTCACCAAGACCCGGGCAGGAATACTTGCTGTCCGCAGCGACCGCGTGGCCGAGGTGCGCTGCGTGGAGGCGAATCTGGTGCCTCAACACACAGGATTTAGGGCTGCAGAGCTTGCGGTGCTAGGGGTTTGGACCTGGAGCATCAAGCCTATAGAACCAAAGCGTGAAGAGTCCCTCTACCTACTTTCTTCATGACGTGGCAGTCTCCTCCTGCCCTTCTCCGCGGGAACATGGGTTCGTAAGACCCTGCAGTGGCATCATCGTTTCTGGTAGGACTGGCAACAATCCGAAGAACAAGAAACCCTCGGAAACCCCTCAACTTGACTCAACTCATATCTGCCTCCTGCCGGTTCCAATGCTGGCGACTGCCAGGCTCAGGAGCCGGGCTCCGAACGCCGCGCGTGCCAGGAGTTTGAACCTCCAACTTAGGTGGAGTCGAGCCCTCTCCGAACACGAGTGACACTAGTGATCCGCGACTGCGAGAGAACTTTAACCTGGCTCGTCCGCCAGAATCTATCACTAGAGTCACTAGAGATTCTGCAACATTGCCCCTCGAGATTCCTGGTTGTATTTGTGAATAAACAAGCGCAGAAGAAGAGGAAAACTATTTAGCAGTACAATGAACACTCACGCAAAGTTATACCCTAATGCGAAACGCTTTAAGTTGAAACAAAAGCAAACTCTCACTGAAAAAAGCCTGCCCTAGTATGGCCTAAGTTATGGATTATATCAGCCGGGCTCTTTGATCAGGTGCTTTGGCTTCGGCTAATTTCGCAGGTTGGGGTCGGAGAATGGCACGAGCCTGGTATCTGCTGGCTTCCCAAAAGGTGCCACCAAACCTGACTCAGGTTAGACACTTCTGTGGCCGCGCAAGGCATGGAACCGAGTTTACCAACTTCTGTGCAATGTCCCATTGGGTGGGATGGTGTCGGGACTAGGTCTGTCAAAGTGCTGCCGGCTCGCTTGGTGCATCACGTCCACGCATGCCCCAGTGAACGCGAGCACCAACACGCTTTCCGGGCGGCATGCTGCCATGACAAACCATGACCTCCAGCAAAAAACACACTTTGGAACAAGCAGTGTACTCCAAACCAAGACACCTACTCAAGCTCTTTAATGCCAGCACATCTGAATAGTCTCTCGCAAGAACAGAAAAATTGACCCAAGCAACAAATCAGCACAAACAGAAGAGCAGAAAGGACCTTTAAGGAAGGACTGTGGATGTACTCAGGGATGCTAGGCCGATAGATATTTAGACGGACCTCTTCTTGATCCAGCTGGACAAGCGCGCAGAATCAGCTACGGTACCAGTAGGTGCCTGCAACGCACAGAAAAAGCAAAGCTGTCTATCAGCCAAGCAAGGTAGATAATCGCACCGGACCAGTAGTCACGATACCGATGACTGCATGGTCACCTCCGTAGCTACTTCACCTGGGAATTGCATCCTAGCCTGCTGCATGCCCAACTTGATAAGGTCTGCCACGGCCCCCGTCTCGCTTGCCCAGACTCCCAGACAGCCCTCAAAGATTTTTTGGCCGAGATGCATACTCTCTGGCCTCGGCAATGCACAACAATCAAAGATACTCTATGCACTCTGCCCATCAGAGCCCATTGCCCGTAGTTTCTCGGAGGGAACTTCGAGAAGGAGAGATAATAGAGTCAAGGTTGTGAAGGTCACGAATGTCACGAGTGTCGTCTGTGCTTCAAATGCATTTGTTGGCACGAGGCTCTGGGTGCCTCGCTAATTTGCCGGCTGCCATCTGCAGCCGCAGATCCTCGATGTCATCTGAAATCTGTTAACAAACTAGGGCTGGAGTGCGCGGGTTCAGAAGTGTGTCGGCTGAAGGCTGAAGACTGCTGAGAAGCTCAGCTGCAAGGCAAGGAGCAAATCCCTGCTTGGGGCCCGGGTCTTCATACAGGATTGTGTAAACATAGCAACGAGCGGAATGATGCAAGTTACAGCGTGCTGCGAATGGACCAATCATCAATGTACAGGCGACCGGAAAACAAGACACAAAGGATATGAGATGCGCTACCCCATGTAACCGGAATTCCCACTAGAATGTATCTGACCCGGCACAAGAGCAAGAAGCTCAGGCGGAGGCCAAGTAAGCCTCAGATGCAGAAACGCGTCTTCAGATGTAATTACATGTAATTAATTACTGTTTTTTCCACGGACTCTGGCACCTGAACACATGGTTGAGGCTGTGAAGGGCTGTGAAGGGATGTCCAACTACCTGCAACGCATCCACTCAATGTCTTGTTACGTTGAACGTGAGCGTGCTCCCCTTCCTCTTCGCAGGGAGCTCGCGCGGTTGCATCCCTGTCCGGTGTTTCAGGTGCAGGTTCTGTGGCTCGCTGCATGGTTTACAGTCCGGCAAGAAGACAGCACTGCTTGTGATTGATCCAAAATTACAAGATACGATTGGTCAACCTTTCAAAAAGTCCGCTCTGCTACAGACATGGGGCACTCAGCGTTTTCGCCACAAGGATGAGCCCAGAGGTGGGTATGTCCTGGCAGTTTCACGGCTCAAGGTCCTCTGATGCAACGAGGTTCAATCCATGGGTGAAAGCTTCTGGATTCTCGCATGTTCTCGCCCTTGGGGGCTTTCTGTGGCCTTTGCAAGGTGTCAAGGCATGGCAGGCCGTCAGGCTTGATCCGATGACGGGTTCTCCCACCCCCACTGAAGTACAAGGCTCAATTTGACACCGTTGGTCCAAACTTGGACGCCTTACAGGTCTTATTCGGCAGAGCACTGTGTGCCCATCCAAATTCGGTTCCCAATACATAAAACCTTGTGCCTTGCCCCAAGCATGATGAAATTTCAATACCAAGTCCTGAATCAATAAAGCTCCATCCCTGACCCGCCCAAAATACATTTCAAAGGATGCGCTCACGCCTTGAAGCAGCCCAAACTACCTCTTTTTTCAACCCGCTCCAGCCGATGAAGGAAGCCGCGTTGGTAGGCCACCTGCAGGTCCCAACCGCGCCAAGGCTTCTCTCGGCATGGAATCACATAACCGCTTCAAACCGGTCGGGTTGAGGGTGTTAGGTTCAATTTCTGGGCCTCGTTCTTAAAGATGAGCTGAGCGTTCTTCTGACAGGCCGGGGAGCTAACTAATACCAGCTCTGCACTCGAAAGTTCCATGGCAAGTGGTCTAGCCTGGCGGAATATGGGGAACTCCTCAGCCGAGAAGCGAGATTGGACGAACGCCCCGAGCCTGGTTGGTCAGGACTACAATTGGTAAAGGCATTCTTGCAATGATGTAGAGATATGTAGAGACTAAAATTGGTAAAGGCATTCTTGCAATGATGTACAGAGGCGCGTTTTCAATACCCCCACACACACACACACTCACTCACTCACTCACTCACTCACTCACTCACACACACACACACACACACACACACACACACACACACACACACACACACACACACACACACACACACACGCCAAATCAGACAAGAACCTTTGTGGTAGCCTCCTGGGCTACCTACCCCACGGTGCTAAAGGCCCAGTGCCTGCCACGGACTACCTGATCTGAAGGTGGGTCGTCACTTCCGTCATCCACCTTTCCCAGGATGAATCGGCTGTGGGGGCAGGGATGCGGGCCTGGGGCAACGTAGCCCGGCACTGACATCGCCAAAAAGCTTGAACCACCCGCTGCTGTTTTTGCTCCGCTCGCACACCTGTACTGTGCCCCACGAGGTTCGGTGGCACTCGGTGACTACAGAGGACAAGGCTTCCTGGACCCTTGACTAGCTCCAGGGAGACATTGGTGGATTCATGAGTTCATGCGGGTCCACGTTAAATATCTGCCAGGGACATGCCGATTGGAGTCTCTGTCTATAGTTGCTGCCGCACTTCTCTTTTGAGACTGGCTATGCAGCAACAGTGAGACCGGCTGCCCGCCTTTCCCTTGTGGCCATGATGCATGAGCAATGTGACAAGCTCAAGTTTTTTTAAGTATGAAACCATTGGCTCTTCAAGTCTAGATCTGGGACATGCCCCAAGAGTCAGGTGCATGCCGTCTTGGCTTGCGGACGCCTGAGCTTCTTGGGGCAAACCCTTCTGGCCAACAGAACTTCACAGCGCAGGAGGCGTCACTCTGCAAGCTCGCGACCCTGTCGATGCCCGTAGTGCCCGTAGGGTTGCAGTTGTGCCGAATGCCGCATGCCGTGCATGCCGAGAAACTGCCTTGTCAGAAGTACGAGGTTTGGGTGGTTGAGAGAGAGGAGGCGCCACCGAGCTCATCCCGCACCAGGTGATAGGCGATGTAGCGCCTGGTTCTGGATGATAACATGGGGTGGGGAGGGGCGGGGCAGAGGCGGGGAGCGGGGGGGGGGGGGACGGTGACCCGCACATGTACTGCACACAAAACACCTTGGGCTTACTTTCTTGCAACTGTCCTTCATACACTCTTCCGCTGTGATCGTCTCGGCATCTGGGCCCCTGACTTCCGTTCCTCATCGATTTCCTCCCTCATCTGCTCCAACGACATCTGGCAAATGATCGGCCCTAAGCTTCAACCCTAAACCCTGAAGGCGCACTCATGACTTCTTACGTTCCTCTGGGGCAGCGTTACCACAGGGCTCAAGGCTCAAGCTGTATGTATTCTGGGTACAGACGAAATGAAGACAATATCTATCGCTGCATTGATGGGTTGCTTCTCTTCATATACGTGTGTTTGAATCACCCGAGCACGCAAGCTTTGGCACGGCTCCACCACTGTCATCCGGCGCGGTCCAGTTGGACAACGATACAGTAGGGCCACAGCAGTTCAAATGGGACACCGTTTGGAAAAGAGCGTCGAATCTAGATTTAACTTCCTTTACCCTCGCAGTGAGTGACCCAAAATCGAGCCGCTGCCAAACAACGCCGGGCCCCACCTCCCGACGTCCCATGGCCGCTGGTCCCCGGTCAGGAGGCAACGGCGAGGACTCGTAGAGATCCGCCCGGGCCTCCGACTTGTGCAAGGTGGTTCAAGCCGCTGTCTTCTGCCGGTTCTTCTTTCACTTTCGAAGCATGGCTCCTTATCTTAGGCCCAAGGTCTGCATGAGAGGTTCCCCAACAGCCCCAACGGCTGCTCCCACAAGCCTTTCGGCACAAAAGAGAATCTCCATCAATCTCCAACCCTGGAGGGCATGAGTTCGTCAGTTCACGAAACAAGATTTAAACGTCAGTGGCTCAGATTCCCCAACCGCGGAAGCCCACCCCTCAAGAAGTAATGCAAGCCGTTGCGTCCTGCTGTGCTGGTTGCAGTGGCGGCTCCTAGGGCATGGCGTCGCGCAGGTGCGGCTTGGGGCTCATGGCAGGTCTATGCTCACCTGCGAACCGTGCCATGGGAAAGCGAGCTTATGACTGGAAAACAAACGAGATGGTGAAACCGAACATTCCATGCAACTTACCGTGCCCATGACCTGCGAGAGCAAACCTGCCACACAAACTCAAAATGCTTCAGCCCAAACCCAAAGAACTCTCCGGCTGGGCCTCCACAAGCTCCCTGATATCGTCCGTTTCCGATCGTGCAGAGAGGGGAGGCAGCGCACTGCGCTTCGGATTCCTATCGAGGCTTGAGGTTCAAAATGAATCGCTCAGCTTTGTCGACCACGTGATACTTCTCAGAGACTTCATAAGGAGTCTTATGGCCTAAGACTGAAGGCATCCAGGGATCTGCGGCCGGTGGCGCACAATGCTTTGCAGAGTGGAGCCGTGGTCGTTCCTCGGCTTTGGGGCCGGGCTCCCGAAGTTTGGGAACCATAAGATGCTGAGCCCAGAGGTTTGGACGAAGCTCTCAACGTCGGTCACGGCTTAACCGCGACATTGCACGCTCTGCCCCAGTAACTTCAACCAGAAGCTCTTAACGTCCCGTACAAACTATGGCTCTTGTGCATCCCTAGTTCTTGGCCCCAAGCCCGGAGCCCATTTTCCAACAGATGCCGTAAACCAGGCAAGATGCCTGAGTTTTCTCAGCTCCCACCTGCTCTTGGGGTCTCTTGGGGTCTAGATGTGCCCAAAACCACGATAGATCTCTGCCCTTGACACATCAGAGTCATCAGAATCATCAGAGCGATGGGGCGAGCACCCGGGGGGTCTTCAACTCTTGAAGGGACGGAAGTTATCGAAGCCTCAAGATGCCTCAAGAGCACAGGCAAAAATACCGAACACACCGGAAAGCTCTGGAAAACTGATGAAAACTGCAGCCCGTGGTTCTTCGCCACGGCCTCTGTGACACAGCGCAGGAGTTCCTGTGTCCACAGGTTCAAGAAGAGTTCCATTCCCGTCAAAGTTCCACTGTAGCGAACGGATAGATCAGGCAGCCATCCCATGGACCCAGAATGACTCCAAAAGACTCCCCACGACCCCAGGTTGGCTACACGCCTACAACCCCTGACCCTCTGACAGCGGCCTGGAAAAAGTGAAGGCGACCTTGGAGATCACTCAGGCCATCCATGTTCCTTGGCTTTGGGGTAGAAAGAGTGTGAAGCCATGAAGCGACCTCGCACGATGACGGCTAGAAATCACTACCTACAACATGCGCCTGGTGGGCACCCAGGATTGCCATGCCCAAATGCCCAAGCTGCGGGGCAGTGCCCTGTGCTATCAGGGTTTGCTGACTCCGGTCCAGGGCCGTGCCCTCCTCCTTGATGGCCTCCAAAGTTGCCTCAACGGACACAAAATCTCGCTTCTCCGCTGCTCGACCCCGATGGAGCTTTTGAGATGGGATGCTAGCCCTGCCTCGCTGCCCATACGCAGCCAACGTAGTTTACGCAGTGTCCAGGAGCAATTCTTCACCCCACGCAGCCCGACTTCCGCTCTCTGCGCTCTAGCGGCTCGCTGTTCTGTTGAAGTGCTTGGGTTGCAAGGGCGAAAGCATGTACAGAACCTATGTAACCCCGGTAAAGCCCGACCATCTCTGAACCCGCACTCAGAAAACACAGCCAAACACCTCCACATACTCTTGGCTTCCAGCGCCTCCAGGTGTGCAGGTGCGTAGTCTGGGTCAGTGCGCGGGTCGCCCATGTGGCCCTCGACCGCCTGCTGGGTCAGCCTTTGGCAGAGTTTAGGTCCTTATGGACTAAAGGTTGTTTTCCGAACCTCACCAGCTTCTTGAATTCGCTGGACTCAAACACGCACAATACAAAATGTCCACACATTCGTCCAGCCCACGACGCGTTTGCGCTGCATGAGTTGGCATGACCATGCATGACCTCCTCTAACCAATGGAATGATTTTGATGAGTATTTAGAAACGCAGAGCGGCTCATCCAGCTGCCGGTGCACTGTTTGGACCGAACTCTGGAGCCGCGACACGCCGCAATGCATCCTGGTATGTTCTTGAGGCATGAAGGGGCGTGCATGTCAAGGACCGCACCTGTGCGCCTATCTGTTGACAGGCAGCTTGTGATCTGACATACTTTCCCAGGCAAGTGAGGCCTGGTTGCAGCCTTCACGAGTTTGCAAAAGGCAGACTTACAGTAAGCGGGATCTTCAGACCTGACTCAGATCCCTCGACTACCACAAGACTAGGGCACCTCATCCCGGAATTTCCATGAAGCTACGTCACCTACTGCACCCAGGCTGCATCTGCATCCGCAAAACCTTGCAGCCCAAGAAGGGAATCAAAACGTAAACGAACCCCTCTGGCAAGCCAAGCAGCTTGGAGCGCTCTCCGGCCTTCAACACCTTGATTTCGACAGAAGCTGATGACTTATCATGTTGAACGACGTGGGTTCCCTGGGCAATGCCTCAAAGTCGCCGCAAGTGAATTTCACCACTGCCGGACCCAGGCAGGTGAGACTGTGCCAATTAGTAGACGAACGCAGGAAAACCCCAAGATTGAATCATGTGGTCCTTGGCAATCAATGGTCGACAATGCTTGGTTCTAGACGCTTCTCTGAAAGATCCGGACGTTTGCACTCTCACCATTGCCTGGCCTGCCTGCCCCTCTTGGCCTATTTGCCCACTTGCCCCGTTCACCCATCACGCGCTTGCCGTGGCTCCAAAACACAACCAAACTCCACGCACCCACCCACCAAAAAGGTGCAGCCTTGCCCAATGCTCAACATGTGATGTGCTTCCAAACCCAGAGCCCTAAGCCCCTCGCAACGGATCGACCAGCCTTTCGCAGACTGAAACCTCCTGGGCCTTTTGGCCACCTAACTTCAATGTCCCAAAAACATGGCACGTGCGGCAAGTGCGGCAACTGGGGGGAGCTTTGCTTTACCGCCCCCTCCGAACGCGATCAAATGCTAGAAAGAGGTACAATTGGATAAGAGCATTAAAAGGAAGAGAGCTACAATACGACTCAATCGGATGCCGTCATTCTAGATTCCACAGGAGCAGGGGCGGAATGACCCACCGCCCCAACACGCCGATTTCACGTTCCGCCAAAACGTTTGAGAACACTCGAACCAAGACGATGCTTGACAACCGTCAGGCTCCTCCTCACCAGACAAAACTGATTGAGATTAGCTGCTGACATTAGCTCGATGTAGTGACATTAGTGAAAGTCAAATACAGAGCTACAACGTTATCAAGATTTTGCGCAACATCACTGGAAGTTAAAGTTAGTTAGTTCAGAAAACATGAACAATCTTGAGAAACATGAACTTAACAATGATGTAAAGTAGAAATTAAGGCTAATATTAGCGAAAATCACCCGAACAAATACAACTACAACGGTAGACTTGAAGCGAAATTGAGGTAACTGAAGATACGCAAAGGTAGCAAATTGACTTACAATCAAATGAGTCATGAAAGCTACATTAAAATGTTGAAATTGCAGCTGCTACATATTCTAAATTAGTCATTCAGCGTCAAACTGTTTGAACGCCTAGGCCCTACCCCCGCCAAAGATGCAGCAAAGGAACTGTTTCCCAGCTTGCTGCCATTTGCTCCACGTGGGCAACCTGTGCCTCGAGACTGCTTTCCGTCCCCCCAAGACCTCCCCACTCCCACAGCTGCAAAACAGAGGAAAGCATTCTGCCAATGCTGCACCGCCAGGTTTGTTCAGACCTTGCTTACTTGGGCTTTTGCATGAAACCTGCCAGTCACACAACCCTCCGCTCTGGCCTGCAGGAAGTACACGCGCTTCTGCAAGTCCTCGACCCTGGTGCTTGTGGGCTTCTCGTCTCGATCCATGCGCCGGAGGTTCGACAACTCCTGTCCCGAGAAAGCTGTTGAGTCGCAAGTTACAAGCAAGTTGCGCTACCGATGGTTCACGCAGCAACGCGTGTGCATGCATCCTTTTACGTAATCACGAGGTCTGAGAAATGGGTTCAGATGTCTAAGTGGTCAATGGTGCGTCTCCGCCACAGGAAGATATCTTCAAACGCTGCCCTCGCGGTTGCCAGCACATCAATAAGAACACAGTACTGGCAATCTGCACCACTCGCCCGCGCGGCAAACGGTTCTTAGCTTTGCTTGGTGCAGCATGAACTCAACCCATTTCGTCCTCCATTGACTCAGATTAAGTTCAAGTTGATTGGGTTTCACCTTTTGCTTCATCACTCGTGCATGCCTTTGTGTGCCAGGCAGGCTTTATTGCTTTGTTTGGACATCCTGCAATTTCCAGTGCTCAGCCGCAATCCAATAGCTTGCATAACACAGAGACTGTTCTTTGCCCTGGAGAGGGGCATAGGCAACGCAAGCTGAAGGGTTGCAAAGCAGGTTCCTGTCTGACAAGAGTGGCTTGAGCTAACCGCCTTGAGCGGACACGGACGAAACTCATCGGGGGTTTTGGTCGTGTCTGGTCCTCGCCCAGCAGCGCCAAGTGGGTATCCAGCTTGGCCATGTGCAAAGACACCTGCTTGTGCTCTTGACGAAAAGTCACAGCACAGCACCATCAGTCACATCTCAGGGCGGGATCTCCTTGTGCGTGTGTGTTGTATATATATATATATATATGTGTGTGTGTGTGTGTGTGTTGTATATGTGTGTGTGTGTGTGAGAGTCTGTGTGTGCGTGTGTGTGTTGTGTTTTTGTGTTGTATGTGTGTGTGTGTGTGTGTGGGTGCGTGCGTGCGTGCGTGCGTGCGTGCGTGCGTGCGCGTGCGTGCGTGCGCGTGCGTGCGTGTGTGTGTGCGTGTGTGTCTGTGTGCGTGCGTGCGTGCGTGCGTGCGTGCGCGTGCGTGCGTGCGCGTGGTG